ATCAAACGCCTTGGTCCAATCCGCGGCGAAAGCTAAATGTTTGTCTTTATTTTAGATTTCTAGCGCAAGACCTCAATACAATTATTGTAGGCGGGGCTAATATGGGGAATGTGCAATCACAACTTGGCAAATCCCAACATTATCCAATTATTTGCATCTATTCGCCTTTTGCGGACGTGGTCAGAAACCACATATTTGTGTTAATCGGGCTGTTTGTAATGTGAGACACACAACGTGTGTGCTCACGTTGGTCGCTATAATTACTTTTCACATGCAGTCGCTGTTGGTGCTGTAGTTTTTGGACCCGCCAAATTGAAATATTACATTTTCGACGGCATTTTTGTGGTATAGCAGGCAACCACGTCAGATCAATCAGTGAAAGGATGGAGAAGAAAATGTCGGTGGATTAATTTTGACCACAATATACCTAATTTGCATAAATTGTTAATCCCTGCAGTGTATTATATTATTCTCATATTTGGGTATATTCTTCTTCGTTTTTTTAAATTTTTTTGAAAAGTTTATTTTGGTGATTCTAGTTACACCCCCTTACTTACATTTTCTTAAGCATGTTAGTGACATAATAATCACGAGGATATAGTAACGATCCAAAATGGCTACTATTATACCAAACAAATTCGCACATTTACTTTGTCTCCAGATATCATCAAGTATGCAAACCTCAGTATTGATGAGCTTCAAATTCACCAAGTTGCTTACTGGCACAGAGTTCCTAATAAACCCTGATGGGAAATCGTGTGAACACGATAACATTGTGGTATTAAGCTCGGCAAACACAACAAAAAGGGGAGAAATGCTTGCTGTTCGTAAACTGCGCTTAAATTAGGAGAAGGGTCGCCTAACGTTGGATCCTTGAATAAGGAAACACCCCAAAGGAAACACCCCACCAAAAAAAAAAAAAAAAAAATGTTTGTAATGATTATGTCAGTGTCAAATGTGTTTCTTTCCCCATTTAATTTTCTGTCTAATCATAAAAGAGAATTTCCTTGAACTTTTCAAGTCTCGTCACGTTAGGTTACCCTTCACTAATTAGGCTAATTAAACAGACACCTCGTTTTCCCGTGTTTGTTTGCTGGGCTTAATGTCACCATGATATCATTGTTCACATGATTTTCTGTAGGGTTTTAATAGGTGTCACTGTGCCAGTAAGCAACTTGGTGAATTTGAAGCTCGTCAATACTGATGTTTGGCAAGACTCCTTGAAGACATCTGGAGCCAAGGTGAAATGCGCCCAGCTGTCGAGTATAATAGGAGCCATTTTGGATCGTTACTATGTACTAATAATTATTCAGTCGCTTTACATGCGTTAGAAAAATATTATTGAAGTAAGGATGTTAAGTAGAATCATTAAACCATTTCAAAAAAATCAAAAAATAAAAGATATACCCAAACAAGGCAAAAATATACTCTAATGGTAGGTATTAAAGATTTATGCAAATTAGGTATATTTAGGGTCACAATTAACGGTGGCATCCACCCACATGTTGTTTCGTTATGGTTCAAAGAAATATCTAGCATGGATGCCAACTATTACCAAAAAATGCCCTGAAATTATTCTCCAGGATACTTTACCACGTTCGGCTGGCCTACCCAACATGCCTGCTCAAACACAGCGCCAGCTGTCAGCAGTCAGCGCGCGGCGAGGATACGCCGCCGAATGCCGTACGAACGGATAACGATGAACGCCTTAACCAAGGCTACAGTTCGTTGAACTGTTCAATATTGGTGCGCCTGTTTTCTATCGATTGTTGTTTTCCCCACTCTCCTACCCAGGCACCCCCCTATCAGAACGCGGTGATCGTCACATTCCAGTTGACCATCTCCCTCTTGAGGGCACACTGCTACACCCCATGGCAATAAAGGATAGGGTCCAAACATTTTATTTAAACTCCTGATGACGCTTTTTCAAAAAAGATTATTATTATTATTTTTTTTAAAGTTTAACCCAGAATATTGCAACCTCCCTGCTAGTTCTTGACCGAAATACATTTCAAAGCAGCAGAATCATATCCACAGTAAGTCCAGGGACAATACATATTCATTCACTGCATGAGCAGATTTGTGGAGGGGGGGGGGGGGGCAGAAGTAATAGCCGTCTTGAACCTCTCCCCCACCCCAGACAGCTTACCCTAACCCTTGCAAAAGGTTGATCCGCCCTCAACTGGCATCTTGCAGGTGCATTTCTTAAGAGAGTGGGACCATGATTCCTACCTCCAATGTGCGAATATTTGACTAAATCTCTACATGACCTCAGGCAGCCAGAGGTGGGAGGGGTGGGTACAACAATTGATACACTTACAGTTTGTACACATATTAAACTATGTATTGATATTTGCCTTTCGATCGATTAATGTTAGTGCATGGTATTCAATAAATGTAATCGATGTTTAGAAATAGACGCTTATCTCGCTTTTGATGGTTTCATGTTATTCTGTATTTATTATGTTTTTTTAGTTCCAACAAAACCTACAATAAATACAAATTTATTATATACATAACAACATGTTCACAAACAGGATAACCCCGACACTCAAGGACGACCCCAAGAATAATCCAGACAACGTCAGAAATTAAAGATTGTCAAAACTACCTGAGCAGTCCGCCAAGAGTGCCAAGATCATCATAATCAAGAAATGGTTACGATACAAAACTGCCTTGACACTATCACAAATACCATGCTTGATACAGGCTATATTCTAAATGGAAGAAATGTATTTTCGTCTGAATGATGGACTAACAATGCAATTTAATAGTGAGAAATCATCATGCATGCTGAAACTATTTTTTACTCTGTCAATGAAAGTGTTCTTGTATGCAAAACTATCATTGGCTTCACAATTCAGGAGGTGAGCATGGAAATACCTTGTTGTTGTTAAAAATCTGACAAACCAAATTAAATTGAAATGTTGACATAATACATCGATCTTACATAAATTCAAACCATGTAAGAGAGGCGTAGCCTAAGAGTACTTTTGAAGACCCATGGTAGCTTTTGCAAGCTTTCCCTGTGCTTTTTTAAAGATTTTGAAAATATCTTGCATTGAAATTCACACACTGACACCCATATAAAAGAACATGCGTCAGAGCTGTGTTCCACGCATGAATCTTACACCGGTTGAACTGCCGTCCTTACACATGCCAATACATTGCAAAAAAATGTAAGTTTTTTGACATTGCGATTTTTCTTTAATATGCCTCTTCAATTATGTAGATTGCTTCGTTGTTTTGAAATGACTACGAACAATATTTTTGAAACGCAAATTACGCAAATTAAGAGTCTGAAATAGAAATTAACCGAAAGAGTGGGGAGGACGCTTAATGGCAATATGTAAGGGTAATGACCAGCCGGGCAGCACATTCACAATGTCGCTGTATGGTCTGACGAAACCGTTTTTTTCCCGGATGTTTCTCTTGACTACGAGGTGAACATATTTGTTGGAAATGGAAATATATTATATTCTTTACCCCAAGGAATATTCATTCTATTGCATGCCAGTTTGCTTTCCAGTCTTGTCATTTCAACTCAAATAGTTCCCCCATTTGACTTATGAAAAAAAGAGTATACAAGAGACAGATCATACAATTTGTATTAATTCATCTCAAAAAACAATAGATGCTACTCCATGTACATGTGTATTTTTACTATTAATCAACTTACATTGCTCTTTTTTAGGCCAAAAAAAGTCTCCGGTTTCTGGTATGGAGCTTGCCCAAAAAGTGGTGCGGCGACGCGGCTTTTTTTTTGTACCCGACTTTTTTGCTTCAAATGTCGGCTGATGACAAATAGGCCTATAGTACAAATAGGCCTATATGGGATTAGGAGTCCAGAGAAGCCACATCAAGCTTATTCTCGACCATGATATTGCACATTCACCAAATTGTATTCCAGAACTCTGCGCGAAAAAGGTATGCTCGCGTAAATGAATGCACAGGTAATGTAATAGCCGTCTGTTTCTCAAAACCGAATGCATGGACAATGAAAACGATTGAACTTTTGTTGAATTGAAATGGATTAAAGACGTGCATTCAAATTCAGACGAAAACGAATGACTGATTTTCAGAAGTGAATGAACATTTTAGGAAATTGGCCGGGAAAACCTATAGTCCAAAAAAAAGTCTCCGGTTTCTGGTATGGAGCTTGCCCAAAAAGTGGTGCGGCAACGCGCCTTTTTTTTTTTTTACCTGATTTTTTTGCCTCAAAATGTAGGCTGATGACTGCAAATAGTGCCCGACTAGACTTAGTGCAAATATATGGGAGTCCAGAGAGGCCACAAAAGCTTATTCTCGATCATAACTCCATCTAAATACACGTTAAAATTGTGAAGCAGCAGGATTCCAGTCAAACCAGTGAGTTTGGCGGTTTTGAGACATCATCTTTCATTGAAAAAAAAACGTTTTCATTTTGCCGACGCGCATGGCTACGGCGACGCGCGCGCATACCAGAAACCGGAGACTTTTATTTTTGGCCTTATATGCGTCCAGTTGTCTATTCTTTATTACAAATGGCTTTATATTCGTGTATCTCATATTGTCATAGCATGGTCACATGTTATACAGATACACCCACACACCTTTTTTTTTAAGCCTAAGATACTTTTTGGTTTCGCTTTTTTTCCCCATTTTCAAAAAAACACATTATCTTCATATTGCAATGATACAATCCGTTCCACTTGTTGCATTTGGTAAACCTTTCTGATTATGTTCATTTAGAGTTGGTGTTTCGATGTCCATAACATGATATTTTCTCAAGAAAACTTTGAGAAAAAGTGCATTCTGGTGCAATGTCAAACGAACTGCGTAAGGTTAAGAGCAGTGCCTCAGAAAATACACTCGGTACCTGTTAGAATTAAACCGGCCATTTCTGTTTCTATTCTAAACATTTATGTTTGTTATTATGAAGTGTTTCTGGTTTGAGAATAATTCAGTTTCATGTACTTCCCCGACTGACTACTAAATCGACCTTTAAAAAAGAGGGAAACAAAGTTTGAATCAGCCGATCGATTCACGAGTGTAATATTTCATGGCACGTACCAACTTGACTTCGTCATCTGCGTCATGGCACCATGGAAACGGGCAACAACTTGTGTAACGATTAAAAAAAACTAATCTGAGTCCTTTCTCACTCAGTTCACTTAGCGCATTGCCGCATTGAGCTTCGGATATCGGGGACGGCCGCTGTGCCACGTTATCACATTTCGTCGCTGATTCTTGTAAGTATTAAGGAGTCATTACTGTTTGTTCTCTCCACCAACCACGAGGCTGAGAGATTTACCCAATTAACGGGGACAGAAGTGGCAGGAAAAGAAAACAAAACCAGGTAAGTGTAGCCGGCCTCAATTGCTTTTCAATGCTCATGTTTTTGAGACGATGGATAGTCGAACGGAGTTGACCATTTACTTCAGAACGACGCAGGTCGCTTTTTACAAACTCTAACGATGTCAAGACTCAAGATTCAAGATATCGATGTTAAAATAATGTCCGATGTCGGAGCTCATGTACCGCCGTCTTCCCTTATTTGTCTGGTTACCACTTGAAATTCTGTTGAGATGTAAAATCAAATGTGATGGTTTTAAAAATACAAGACGTTGCTTGAGACAAGAGAATGTGCACAACTTAGTACTTTTGTTCCTGCTTATGACGCAGCAAGTGTAGCACGACTGGCAGGTATTAGAAAGGCCGCTCGCGATGTTTCCGTTCCGCAATTTAGATTCTGATCTGATTTATTTGAAATTAATTTGCGTAAGACTACATTTTAACTGTGTATTGCGTAATTATTAGAAACAAGCTGGGCACCGTAGCAGAAAGATCTGGCATGTATTTATGAAAAAAACTAAATGACATTTGGGAGGAGATCTAGTGTAAAAAAACAGGCAGATTAACGCTCCTGCTCCAATGAGCGAAATAAAGCGGGGATCATTTAACAAAAGCTTAAAAGACGGAACAATCTGGCTTTGCTCCATAAGAGAAGAACGATAGCAAATGCTTCTGTTAAACATTAAAAACAACCCAACTCCCCAAATTCCCCCCCCCCCAAAAAAAAAAAACAATTCCCACATGATTTGTTCAAAAGAAGATACCATTTACAGTCGGCAGAAAAGTGCTAGTACGGGCTCGGAATGTAGACGACCGCCACTTAGGTATGACTTAAACCAATTGATTAAGGAAATTGACAAAACTTACCATTTTTTATGTCGAGTTTTCTTTCACTACTTTGCTTTAAAACATGGCACTTAAGCCGGCCTCAGGTCGACCTGGGATTTGCTTGCGCCACGACGGAACCGTCGGCAGCAAGCAGAAAAATGATACTAAGGTCACAAAACTGAGAAATCGTGTGATTCTCTTGAAACAAGCGGCATCCCGATGCAAAATATATCCTCAACCATGCTTTAGTCACCCAAGACGCGACGATCCACCACGATTCCCCAACATCGACAGCCGTTTGGCTTCTTTGACATCAAGGGAATAATTATGTGCTTGGCCTTTTTTTACTCGAGCCACTATCAGCGTGCATTCCTCTGATACGGTCTTAAATGCGCTTGTATTCTCATCACAAATACTTTTTGAGTTCAAAAGTTGACACAAGTCAAAAAATATACATTTCCAATGATTTTGTTGAACAGTTTTACTTCATTGCCTTTATAAACACCCCTCTAGTTATGGTTTACAAATATTGAGTGGCTTACCGTTGAACGGGAGGAATATTATCGCAAGGTAAAAATCTGGACTTTTCCATATCACGAGGCGAAGCCGAGTGAACTGGAAAAGTCAAGATTTTACCGAGCGATAATATTCCTCCCATTTCACAATTTAAAGCCACTCAATATTTGTTTTATATAACTGACATAAAGATCCTTGTCATGTGATATATTTGAACTTTTTTTCAATACAAAACTGGAGGAAAATGTATTTCTCTCTTCCAAACCACCCTTTCACGAAAATGTTTGAACCCAACGCTGTAGCGCTGGCTCTTTGGAACAACACGCGCTACGTGCAACGCGCTGAACGCGCACACCTGCATGCACTTGCACACAAATACCGCGTCATGATCCTAACTGTTGAATAGTATTTCCCATTCCCCATGGGCGGATAGTACTTTTTGAGCCGCGGCATGAATGGGAGCAATAACAAATGCCACGTGATGTGAGTTCCACCAATCAAATGACAAGGATCTGTATGTCGGTTATATAATATCGAATATCCTCTCTCAAGTAGTAGTAAACAATCTCCTTATATGGTGATTGACGTGCGCGTGGTGCGTACTGCGTGATGTTTCGCGGAACGCAGAGCGCTGGTATGTAGTGTGCTGATTGGCTACACAATTGAAAAAGGATGTCTTGATGCGTGCACGATAGCGATGTCGTCGGCACTTGTCGACGCGTAGTAGAAGTTTAAATTGTTCTACTCTTGCGACTGTTCACTTTTTTGGAGCGCGACTAATTACGATCGTCTTATTATCGTCGTAGTTACACCCAGGTAGCAAAGAGTAAAGGTTTAAATTATATAACCGACATACAGATTCTTGTCATTTAATTGGAGAAACTCACATCACGTGGCATTCGTTA